TCACCTCCATACCAATCGGTGCAGCAAGGCAATGCACGGAGGAAGCCCTGAAGAACTACAAAACGAAGGTTTCTGCAGCTGCCTTACTTGAACTTGTGGACATTTGCCTAGAAAATAATTTTTTTCATTTGATCATCAGTACTATCAACAAGAAAAAGGAGCTCCAATTGGGTCACCCATATCTGGATTCCTTGCCGAAATAACCATGTTGAAGCTAAAATCAATGACCCTTCCATCAATTAATCCTAAGTTATGGGTATGATCTGTTAACAACACATTTGTTGTCGTTAAAAAGACCATTTTGAAGCGCTCCACAAGACCATCAACTCAATCATTCTGGGCATTCCATTCACGCTCGAAAAGGAGGTTAACAACAAACTCCCATTTCTGTATGCTCTCGTGCGGCGAAATGCTGATGGAACATTACAAACGTCCGTTTACCACAAAGCCACGTATGCGGAAAGTATTCTTAACTACGAGAGCAACAACACCATCTTTCAGAAGAGGAGCGCCGTCAACAGTCTGCTACGCCGAGCGAAGACACACTGCCCTGACGAAAAAACCTACCAAAACGAGCTAAATTATCTGTGTGAATTGTTTTCCCGTAGTGATTATCCCAGAGGCTTTGTACGGCGATGCACGAGACAACAACAATCCAACAAAAAGGAACCAGATAGCTCCATTCACATGGAGAATCCTTCCGTATATAACGAAAGTGTCTGAACTCGTTGAAAGACGCTTGCGGAAAAGCCAAATGAAAGTAGCGCTCAAGCCGATGGCCACATTCCGCACCCAGCTAGTACACCCTAAGAATAGGGTTGGCTACCTCGATAAGAAAGAAGTCATATACAAAATCCCATGTGAAGCTTGTGACACGCTATATTGTGGCCAAACAGAAAGATCCGTCTCCACACGCATCCACGAGCACCAATTGGCAGTCAGGAGCCGTGACCATTTTTCCGATGTGGCTATGCATGGCCTTGACACTGGACATACATTTGCATGGAGCAAAACACGTATCGTCAGCGTTTGTCCCTCCAAAAAGGCCCTAAATTTATTGAGTTCATGCACTCCGATGATTCATACATTAACTGGCA